GAATCAACAATGAAGGATTGGCCATTGGAATCATTTATGGTAAGAGCGGCAAAAGCCTGAGGAAATTCTTCAAATTGATATGAGTAGTCAAAACGATACCAACAATTTAATTGCACAATGATTTGGTTCATCACAAATTTGGCAAGATACTTTACCATTGTTATTTGCCTCATTGGAACGTTGTTGCTGGTTTCCTTCGTTAGCATGTCTAGCGTTGTTGTTCGAATGCTTATTGCTGGCTTGAGTATTTTGGCCTCCACTTTAAGCATTGTAACCCCTGGCTGGTGTAAAGCCTTCGCCACGCGAATTAAAATTTCCTCTGCCTTTTCTGTTGTTTCCACCACGATCGCGTTATGCTCTATGAAAAGTTTTTCTTCCTCCTTTTGGGCAGAAAGAAACTGTTCATATCCTTGTAAGGTTAGCACAAACTCACTGAAAGTAGGGTAAGGAGCCTTAGAACGGAGCCTTAGAACATTGCAACATGAAAGTTTTCATACCTTGGGCTTAAGCCACGGAAAATTCAAAGACATTGTCGAGGTCGGAAACAGGCTTTTTGATCGCTGCGAGATTGTCGCGGATGGATTTGAAGTCTCTTAGATAATCGTCTAAGGATCGAGAACCCCTCTTGAGAGTCATCAACATATTTTTGAGATGCCTTTCCTTTTCTACAATAATGGGAAGGAGTTGTTGTTACAGGGATTTCTAAACTTCAAAGGCCGTTGCAGTTTCTGTTTCGAAAATCAGATTGAGGATATCTTACTTCATGGTTCCAAGCAACCATGAAGTAAGAAGCCTATCATTATTGACCCAAACTGTGTACTGCGGATTTGGAGTCATATTGCCATTGTCATCTTTGATCCCTTCTTCTGTTTTTCTTCATAAGTGAGATGGTGAAGAACACCGAGGCTACGAACTAAGGGAAGGATTTGTGAACGCCATAAAAGAAAATTTTAGTCTCTAACTTCACTGATATTAAACTCGAACATTGGTGGAACAATTGAATGCTCAATTCAGATTCGGTTTTTGGGATTGAAGAGGAGGATGAAGACATAGTTTCTGGTTTGCAAGTTCTAGGCAGTGATACCATGAAAAGATTTTCTTTGAAATGGTTGAAGGAAGCGTTATACAAATATATATATAGAACACTCTGTAAAAACACGGTAATTACAACACACTAATGGAGAAATTCTAGGTGCTATTTTTGCACAATAAATCATAAGTGCTAGCAGTGTGAAATAATGGAAAGGTGACAAAGATTTTGTTTTAGGGAACTTGTAGAGCCGCATCCCCATTGAATTGATGTTGTGGCTGTTAGCTTCCATATCTGCATCTATATTAGTATCCTTATTTTCCTCAATACAATTCTTACGGGACAAGTTGATGGTTCAACGATGCCCCACCATCACCTTGAAGGGGTAGGAGTTGGAGTATATTTGAAAATTCATTCTTTACCATAATAATAAAAAAATATTAACTATAGTTAAAAAGTTATGTTCTAAATAATAGAATATATATCTATACTACTAATAAAAGTGGATTCATTTTCTAATATTTATATACATTTTAAAACAATTAATTTATTTAAAAAATTCATTACTTAATTTTTCAGTTTCCAATTTTTGCTATTATACACCTTTTATTCTTAAAGGTTGTACCTTTTAGGATTTCAATATTTTTTGATATTTTCATGCCAATACACTTTTACACTTTAGATAGATAGATATTTAATATGAAAAATAAATTTTTTTTTATTTTTTGATTACCAAGTTGTCTTCTTTTAGAAAAGAGTTTCTTTTAAATTCCCACACTTATTCATATCAAACACATTTTCTTTCATGGAGAGTTTTGTCAGTTAAAATATATCACCTCTCTATTTATTTATTTATTTTTTAAAAAAAGTACGTGGGATATTTCAATTCTCTAATTTACACTCTTACTCTCTCTCTCTTTCTATCTTTCCATGCAAAAATTTCTCTGCAAAAATTTAGTAGAGGTTTTATTCACCGTCATTTTGAACCCTTACACAAATTTTATTAGCATGAATCAAACTGGTTTCCAACAAAATAAAGTTTTAAAAAATCTATTGATGAATGGTGTGAAAGAAAATATGAACGGTTATGAAAAACGTTAACGGTAAAAACTTCTTATAGTTGAATAGACATATTCTTTCATGAACAGACCTATCCTTTCATGAATAGGTGTGTAATAGCCTATAAATAGAATAGTAGTCCAATAAAAATAATATACGTTTTAAATCTTCCACTTTGTTTCTTTTCTAAACTTTGTTCCTTTGTCCATCCAATATATATATATATATATATATATATATCCTGAATTTATGAACAACATGGCAATGTAAGACTTGATCAATGTTCTTCAACCTGACTATTTTGGAGTCTTTCATAGTCGTGACTCTCCAGGAGGCCAGAAGTAAGTTTCTTACTCTCTTATTTTAATATGTTTTTATTGATATTTTACTGAACTATTATTATTTTATAATACTTTATTTGTACTATTTATATTATGTTATAACAAATTATTTTTGCCTAACTACATTGTGATCCCAACAACCTAAGGCCTCTATATATCTTCTTTTCATATATAATGTGTTTATTGTTCCTGTGTTGATTTTATGTCTAATTCTGTATTTTTTTTGTTTAATTCTTAGGAAGTATTGTTCTTTTGTAGGTTCTCTACATTGCTTAATTATTTTTCCCTTTAAAGTATTTATGATTCCACTATATAATGTCTTTCTATTTGGAAGAGATTTTTTGAAGTATGTTCCATAAAGATTTAGGACAAGAATAGTGCGAAATTAAGAAACACTTTAGGGTTGCATTTAGAATAAAAATGGTATTTAATTTAATCACTTTAATATATATTTATCTGTAATATGTGTATTAAATATATCTATATTTATATCCCTTTTATTTCGTATTATTTATATAAACTAAAATTAGTTTTTTTAATTTAAAAAGAAAACATGACTTTAAATTTTTGTTTTCTCAAGAAACGTGACCTTTCAAATAATAATAACAAAATAATTAAACTCTTGTAACAGACACCTTCTAACCGCAAACACCTCCTCTATTCTAAAATAATAAATATTTTTGTATCGTGTGTATATATATATATATATATATATATATATATATACATATTTTCTATTTTACATTATACACCTTTTGAATTCCTAAACGTAACACCTTCTGCCAATACAGAACACTTCAAAAGTTACCTTCTTAACTACTACACCTTGGAGTAAAAAAATCAACACCTATCCTATTATAAAATAAATAATTTATATATTTTGCTCACCAGGAGTTTCTTTTAAATTCAAATACCTAAAAGAACACCTTTTCTTTTTCATATTAAACACCTTTTCTTCATATAATATCTGATTAAAATACATCAATTCTTTATTTAAATTATTTTGTATATATTATATTTTTTAATAATTTTTTTTAACGTTCTCTCCTTCTTCAAACCGCAAGACTCCTGAAAGTATATGTCTATTCGATCTTGAAAGTATATGTTGATTTGATCATATAAAAAGATAAACGGACATTCCAATAACCTAAATTAGTTTCAAACCCTTTTCGTTGGAGACAAATCTTTTATTAGTGTGCAACAAATTACAAATCAAAACCCAATTTATTATTGATTTACTCCAGAAACTTTACATCATTGTGTTTGCAGAAGCCATATGTTTTCTCAATATAATTTCTTTCTTAATATATATATATATATATATATATATATATATATATATCTTTAATTTTTTATTCTTTTATTAATTCCAAAAAATGTGACTCATTCAAAAGTCACATCTTTTTCAATTGGATTTTTATTTTTTATTGATTAATTCCGAATTAAAGACTCGCTCACCCAATATATCTCTCTTTATATATATAGGGGGAAAAAAAAAAAGATTTCAACACAATAGATGTTTCAATTTGAAGATAACCCTTTAGAAATAGATATTTTTTTAATTAAATTATATATTATAGATGAAAATTTTAAATCATAAAGATTTGAAACAAAAAAGAATAATTCAAAATACAAAAAAATAAATTTATAAATATTTTTCATCACGTGCAACGCACGTTGATTCTTCTAGTATATATATATATATATATATATATATATATATATATATATTTATTTATTTATTTTTTTTGAGACAGGGAGAGTGCTTTAGAAATTTAATCTCTCTCCTAGAAAGAGTGATGATCAGGAGTTGACAAGTGGACAAATTCCACTAATTTTAAATTAGTAGGACTAATCACCAAGTCACAAATATTAATGAGCCCCGCAAATGAGTCTGTGTCATTTTCCTTACAGCTTATGGCACATAACATAATCCATCAACATTTTAATTATAATTATTATTTAATTTTATTTTTTTTACGGATAAATCCCCAACCTATCACAAAGATTATTATTATTTAATTTGTTTTTTTACGGACAAATCTCCGTCTATCACAAAGATTGCCCTGTACCCTACTGTTACATTTTAAAAAGAGACGGAACCATAATAGTGTATAGTAATTTTATGTCGGTTTTTTTTTACCCACATGTATACCTAAATCATGGTTCGCCGTAATCCGATACGCGACTTGTATCGACCAATTTACATTAATTTTGTCCGAATCCGTTATACTGCGACTGCGATCGCGATCGCGATCGCGACTACAAACCATGACACAAATTTTGATTCAAATGTTTTTTGACCCATCACAAGCCTTATTTCGTTCAAACGAGAAGTCCTGTTTCGTTGAAAGAAGAAGGTAACGGCTTGGTGTTGAAGGCTTGAAGCTTAATAAGCCATTTTTTGTTCAGTGGTCCAATTTCGTTGGAAGACAATCCTGCAATTGAGGTATAGTGGGCCGGCCCTGGCCCAAGGCGGTCGCCTAGGGCCTCAGCATTTAAAAGGCCTTTCAGGCCCATGAGTTATACACCTAAAGAAAAATACTTAGGCCCGTTCCATTGCACGAATTCACACTCTCGTAAGCACATTTCTCTCTCTAAAATACTCTCTCTCTCTCTCTCCCTCTCTCTCAACAGAGAAAATGCAGAGCCCCTTCGATTTCTCTTCCAAAACCTCGGAGACCTGGAAACCCTATCTCTCCATGTAGATTCAATCGTTTGTCTGTATAGTTGCATTCGAGATCGATTGATTTCACCTCCGTCAATTTCCTTCAATCTGTTATTCTTCGTTGTCGACGATTTGAAGTTTTGAACGCCTCCTCTGATGGGGTTGTCAGGGCTTGAACATTGAGAAACTGTAAGAAAAGCCCTCGTCGACCATATCATCGTCCGCCACCGGTGGCTCGTCTTTGTCTGCCTCTGATACGGTGATACCACCGCTACTGACGCCGAAGCTCTCCGGCGGCAAGCTCTACTTCGACGTGTCTCCGTCTAAGGTAATTGCTTCACTCCTCATTTTTCTAGAAATTCCATTCGTCTCATTTGAACTGTGTGACTGATTTTCTTCTATTAGGTTCCTCTAATATACTCGCCTTCCTACGATATCGCGTTTCTTGGCATTGAGAAACGGTAAGAAATCTAAGCCCTCTCTCTCTCTCTCTATATATATATTTATATTTGTCTCTCTCTCTCTATATATATTTATATTTGTCTCTCTCTCTATATGTCAGCAATTCGCTTTGAAATTGAATGCAGCTCTTTACTATTATTATGGGTGTGTATATATATATATATGCATGTTGGTGATTAAATTCGAAATTGAATATGGCCCTTTATATGTATATTAGTGTGTATTTCAGTAATTAACTAATTACTTTGAAATTGAATGCAGTCCTTTATTATTGGGGTAGATTATATATTTTTGACGAAATTTGAATAAATATTGTTAGTTCAGTCCTTTATTATTGGGGTAGATTATATATTTTTGACGAAATTTGAATAAATATAGTTAGTTCAGTCCTTTATTATTGGGGTAGATAATATATTTTTGACGAAATTTGAATAAATATAAGTTAGTTCTGTAATACTTATATAGTTGATTTGATATAAAGGGGAAATGCTGGGGTCTAAGTTTGAAGTCATTTGAAGTTGATAAGAACTCAGTTAAGGCAAAATTCTACATTATTTTCAGAAATTTAGAATGGGTTGAAAGTTCTAAACTTGATACATTTGAAAACTTGAAAATCTTTTTGAAGTTTAAATTATAGTGATATCATTCTAACTCTTTATCTTATCTATCCCGTGGGGAGTGAACTAAGCATTTGTTAATAAAATATATATTTTTTACTTTATTATGAGGGATGGCAGATGTAGAATTTGAGAGAAACTAATAGACCATGTTTTGTTTTGTGTGTTTTCAACATTAATATATTTTATGTGCTCATCTTCTCATTTTAATGAAAATTCCGCACTCTTATAATTTTTTTTTTTAGGCATGTGAAACCTTTTGTATAAAGGGCCTCACATTTAAGTTTGCCTAGGGCTTCTCAAGATATTGTCAATCTCATGGCTGGCCCTAAGTTCGGGGAATTTCCTGCAAATTGCCCTATATTTTGGTTTTAGAGTAGGAACATGAATGGACTCCAAACAACACTTCTATTTCAATTCAATTCAACAAGCCCACGAACTGTAGGGGCTTATTGACCTTCCGAAAAAAAAAAACTTTAGGCTTACTGGCACTTGGGACACTGGCTTCAGCAATTACTTTGGTAATTGGTTTCTCTCTTGATTAATGTCACACACTCTCTCTCTCTATGTATGTATATTATATATGTTCGTATTCATTTTCGCTTTTGCAGTTAACTCGAAGGCCAAAAAGAATTGAAAACTTGGAATAATTTTCAGATATTTTTAACTGAAAAACTTTTTATTTTTTATATTATATATATTTGGAAATTTGAAAGATTGGGTATGTGTAACTGATTTAGTTGCACACTAGTTGTTCGATGAAATGCTTCCTTACACATCCGAGACATATATAAACACCTTTCTGGGTACTATAGTTAGTCTTACGCGTTATCGATCAAGGGTCACTTGAAATGCCAAAGTCTAGCAACTAATACTTTCTTAAGGCTTTGTTTGGCTAGAAGGGTATTAGAAACTAAACATCTGTTCCTCCATTCTTGGATTAATTTCCTATTGTGATTGTATTGAGTTCTCATAACTTTTTTGTTGAATGATATTTAGGCTTTGTTTGGCTAACAGTACGTAGAGTAAGACTACCCAACTTTGTATGTGTGCATGTGTGTATAAAATTATAGAATTATATGTAAAACATGGTTCAATTGAACCACTCTTTGTGCAATGAACTATACTCTTTGCATTTATGAATTTACTACTTAATAGCTTCAATTTTCCAGAAAGGGGCTGAGCAGTATATGGTATAGGGACTACAGGGATGGTTTCCTGTGTAGTGATATTATTAGGCTATTTCTTATAATTTTGATGATATAGAACGAAAAATGACCCTAAATATCATGTCGAAGTCCAGTTACCCTGATTCATGACCACTAAAAGTCATGTGGCAGCAGCAGATTTGTATCCTTTTTATTCTTCTGTTTTTCTGTGGGTATGGTGCATCTTTTGCTTGTGCATGGCTGTTTTGCTCGAGTGGTGTCTCCTGATTCGAGTGGTGTGACTGGTGTCTCCTGCTACCCCAGAAGGGGAGGTGCATGGTTCAAAGCCCTATTTATATCTGAAGTGTATGTTTTTTACTTTTCACTTTTTTTTTTTTTTGGTTAACTTTGTTATCAGCAAATAACTTTAGTTGTTGAATCCACATTAAATTATATAACTGTAGGAAATAAGTTCTGGAGTCAAATTAGGATTTTAAACCATTGGGTTATTGTGTGTGTGCCAACAAATCATAAAATAATGGAACCTGATATGTTAGAAGAAAATTTTCTAGAATCAGTATAACCAGTCTACATGGTTTGAAAATAAAGCATAGGATCTGACTGGATGGGATGTATGAGTTGTGAGGTTGGAAAGGATAATTTCAGGAAGTTTCTCAATTGGTGGTTAATGTTTTGTAAGTTTAGGAGGTAATTTTGGTGTTCAAGCTCACATGGAGAGATGTACTGTACTTTTAGGCATTACGAGTTACGACCCACAGACTTTTCCTTGGCAAGAAACTCTCACCCATTTGTCCCTAATGGGATTTAAACCCTCACCTTCCACTTTGGGTTGTAGAGGAGATGCCATTGGACTACAGTCCTTGGTACGACTAACAGACTTGACTACTGGACCAGCGGGACAAAATAGTCAACTAATTGACTAATTGAGATAAAACTTCTAGTATTCAAACATATAAAAATTTTAGGATTTTAGTTATTATAAATTATTATTATTTTCATCACAATAGTTGCGGGACAAAATTGTCGACTAATTGAGATAGAACTTCTAGCACTCAAATTTATAAAAATTTTAGGATTTTAATTATTATAAATTATGTTGTTTTTCTAGTACAATAGGTACAGTTCTGAAACATTTCTCGTCAGAGATAAACAATATATGTTAAAACTATGTAAGGCTCATTGTTTGCAACAACCGCCGCCTCAAAAAAGATTGTAATAATAAATTAGAATACCAAGATCTGTTTTATTATTTTGTTCATAATAAATGAGGTGATTCTCTAATAGTATTATTTTAGTCCACAGGCAAGTTGTGGATAGGCATCTGCTTCTCCTTCAATAAAGTTATATTAAACTACAGTTATTTATTTTCATTTTACTTCTCATAGGAAGACTGAAGACACACACTGCCATGGCTGCTACTAAGACTCGAACGAGTAGTTTCTCACGCAATGTTTCTGATACACCTACATCTCAGATCCCTGGATTGAAGAATGGTCCAAATGGCACAATCTTTGTTTCATCCGGAATACCAGATCTTGACAGTAATCTCTAAGAACTCCCATTTTGCTTTGGGTTACTAGCAACCATAAATGGAAAATAGTCTAGCCAATTTGTTTTCTGCAGTTTCCTCTTATTTGTCACCTTGTATCTTAGATTTTTTTTTGTTCATCTGTGATTTGTAGAGATCTTAGGAGGTGGGTTCCCTTTGGGAAGCATAGTCATGGTGATGGAAGACACTGAAGCGCCTCATCATATGCTTCTCTTGAGAAATTTCATGTCTCAAGGACTGGTTCACAATCAACCTCTTCTTTATGCTAGCCCGTCAACAGATCCAAGAGCTTTTCTTGGAACTTTGCCAAGTCCAATATTGTCTAAAGATGGCAAGTCTCGTGAGAATGACATAGAACAGGTATCCTTCTTCTCTTTTCTCTCTCTCACACACAGACACTCACAAGGCATGAGTCAGAAAGGCATCCCTCCCTCTCTTTCCCCAGTTCTTTATCTCTGTATGTCACTCATACAATATCCATTTACAGAAATAACATGTTCTGTTTAATTGCAGGAGAAGAGGCTGAGGATTGCTTGGCAATATAAGAAGTACTTTGGGGAACAGCAGCAGAATATGGCGTGTCAGAGAGGTAAAAGTTATGTTTTTCCTTGTCTTATGCTTTCTTGGTCTTCTCACTTAAAAACCCTTTTTCTCAGTCAATTGATTGAAAGACCTATATGGTTCAGAAATACCTCTATTTGGTATTTGTCAACCCCTGAAAGAATATAAAAGGGATATTAAAGAGACAATGTTTTTGCTTTTCGAAATAAAGTGTTATCAAGAAATATACATGCAATTATATATTTGTCAAGGGCAAGTAATTTGAGAGATTTAACTCGGGATGACCAAATTACTAATAATGAAATGCAACATAATGGATTGATACCTTAGTAAAGGTAATAATGGGGAGAATGCTTGGGATTCTAAAGGTGTAAGGATATCAAAGTTAAAGATCGCATAACCTTATGGTGTACAGATGTTATGCATCAGGGAGGCCTACCAGAGAAGAAGAGATGGTAACTTCAGAGTTATCAAGTGTGACTGGCTTCACATGTGCTTTGAATGGTTTTTGGCATTATGGACTTCATGAGGCATTTTTCCCTCATGCATTTTCCTATAAAATAAAAAAATAAAAAATCTATTTTAATTATTTACATATGATAAATGTATATAATTGGGAAGAATGCAACTATTTAGGAGCTCATTTTGGTATTGTCGTGCAGATGGAAAACCAGAGTACTGCAATGACTTTGACTTGCGGAAGCCCCTTGAGAGGCACTTTCTCAGTGGACACCACATCGATTGCATTAGCCTTCAATGTTCTCCCAGTCTTGCCACTATCCGTGACCGTTGTTCAGCATTTTTAACTCAATTACCAAGGTACTGTTATGCCTTACTTGATCAGAAATCTAGGTGTGCAAGTCTTTGCAATTGATCTGTGGAGACAGTATGCTCCTAAATTGTTTTCAGAGGTGTTAAGCTAGCATATTAATTAATTTTGGTATGGGCACATGTGATTTGATAGTCCTTGTCCAAATAACATTAGAGTGAAAGAATCAGAAGCAGACTTGCTTCATTTTGGTCAGTATATGCAATTTATTTACATTGCCCTGCCCAAGAGATGTACACATAGGTAATTAATTTTAATATAATTCCATATGGTTATTCGACTTAGCGGTTGTGTAATTGTTATTCCAGTTATGTGTGGGCTATCTTAATCATGCGATTAAATTGTTCCCCTGCTATGCTGTTGGAAGCTTTTAGTATTTTGAGTTCGTCAAGGGAAAATATGATGGACTAGTGATACAAATTGGGCTTCACTTTCGAATAAAAAATTGCAGTTGCAGGGTGGCAAATAAAAATTTCCTTACATCTTTTTTGGCCACCATCCTATGAATTCTAAAATGTTAACCAAGCCAAAGGTAGTAATGTATAATTCACTTTTTTCTTCGCCTCAAATGTTAAGAATGGAACTCTACGCTCCTATTTACGATTCCTAGTGTCTGCACTTCCAATCGGACGCACAGTCTATCCTGCCTGCATCTGCGCATTGTGCTGCATGGATGCAGCCCAACTATACACATGCTGGCCGTTGCGCTCCAACGGTTTGTGGACACTAGAAACTTTAATAGTTAATGGCATGCTTGTAACTAGCTTTTTAGGATTTTGACTCTTTTAAGTAGGGGGTATGTTCCAATATGCTGCATTTGAAATTTCCAGTTTTTAGTGTACAGGGGATATCAGTCATTTAAATGCTAAGACCTTAGCTGTATATGTTCAACCTCTCCACTATGATTGTAGTTGGAAAATGCTTTTAAGGCTGAAGACTTTAACCTAAATGCTTAGCTGAAGATTGTTGATTGGTTGGATAAACAAAATATAAGGAAGTGGGACCCATACTTCCTTATATCTCTCCAATAAACGGTGTTCGGCCAAGGATTTCGGTTCAAATCCTCGGCCAAAGTAGCACTACTCTTGTAGTTTGGGCGTAATGCCAAGTTTATTTTTCTGTAAGTGTCACACAACTACTTTGTTCCTACAAATGGAGTCAATGTTGTTACTTGGCAAGTGTACAAAATTTAAAACATAATATATTCTAAATATGTATGCAGGATTTAAATTTTGAAGGTTGTAGCTCGGTTGCCTTGAAGGCGGTTAGTCATTGTACGTAATACCAAATGCCTTGAAGAGTTAGGGCCAATGTTGCTCAGTTGCTCAGATGGGTACTAAAAAGGCCCAAGTTCCAAGAGTCCACCCATGTCCATTGTGCCATGCCTTGCTTAGCGCTCGAGGACTTTTTCAACCTGAGTAGCTGGTGAATGGGTTGAAGAAAAGCCCTATAATGGCAGTCAATGGACCAATAAGAGATTGAGTGTTATACATATGTTTAAAGAATTGTTTTAACATTTTAAGCTACAGCTTAGGGTTTAACTAATATGCCCTGCTAGGGTTGCTTTATGTAGTTTCGATCTATTTAATTTTATAATTATTATTTTTTTTTACAATTTACTCTTTACTATCTCCTGTATTTGTTCCCAGATATGATGCCAACATATCGTGTGCTGGTCGTATTGCCATTCAGTCATTCTGTGCTCCACAATGTGAATATTCCAACATGGTCAGTGGCAATGACATTTTGGTTGGGTTGTTTACGAATTACCCTTTTTCTTTTGGAAATGTTATTATCTCTAAAAGCGAAATTTTTTTTCAAACCTTCCTTCCTGGATCATATAAAAGTCGCCGGGTGACAGTTTTCTTCCATTTGTTTTTAAGGTTGCCTGCTGAAATCCTAATACAAAATCAATTCATTGGTACTATTGTTCACATTATTACTGTAGGAATGGGAAATGGTTTCCTTTATCAGATCATTAAAAAGCATGGTACGGTCTTCTAATGCAGTTGCCTTTATAACTTTTCCACCTGCTGTTGTTTCACCGTCCTGCTCAAAGAGATGGCAACATTTGGCTGACACCTTGCTATCAGTCAGAGCGATTCCAGGTACATTGTTGGCTCTTGCATGCACAGTAGCATGTTACCTTTAATTTAACGAAAATCCATAAACGGTGTTTGTATCAGATGAGGACAAGGAATTGGCGGAACTCCTCACTGGTTACAAGGACATGGTTGGCCTTCTCAATGTGCAGAAAGTGGCACGTATTAATACACAGGTACCACATAAGTGTGTTTACACTAATCATATACATAATTTATGCTATTTGGATGTGCTTAAAGCATGTTCTCATTGTAGACATGCCCCTAATCCCGTTTGCATGAGAGAACACACATTTGTCCAGCCAATTGGGATTGGGCTTGTGGTTTAGTAGAAGGTCATGCGCAGTTCTACTAATTAACATCATACTATGCAAAATCTTCTACTAAAAAAAAATTTGACATGTTGAATAGCTTTCAGTACATCAGGCACTATCTCCATTATTCATATTATACTAAAGATAGTTGATTCAAACTTGTCATCAGGTTCCTGTAATTCTAGAGGCTAGCACATTCTCAATAAAGCTGCAAAAGCGGAGGTCATTGGTTTTAGAATGTTTAAATCAAGCTCCTGTAGATGCTTCGAGTGGAACTTCGTATGGCACTTCTGGCAGTTGTTCTGGGTCTTCAAAGGTAGGGACCCTTGATTTTTAGTTCCCAAAGCTAATCCCATGGCTGATTGTCACTCGAGCAATTTAGAAGCACATGCCTACCTTTGCAGGATAATCATCTGAAATTATCTAAGTCCGCTTGTCAAAAATGAGAAACTGCAACACTGCATGTATTTTCATATTCTTGTACCGGGTTGACGGTATGTAGAAGATGAACTTATTTGAAATGAAAAATTAGAAGATTAGTATTGTAGTATAATATCGTGATGAATTTTTAATATTTGTTTTTCCCCTGGATAATCTGGCTGCAAGTTAGAATGACCAGTAAATATAACTTTTTGAATCAGGGTTGCATGCATAGGTTTTCTGAAACTGTATTGTTATTTTATGCCAGTGCTCATAAATTTGAACTTGCCACACAATTACACATACTGTATAGTACTTAATAGGAAAATGAGGGTATTGAGACACGTGCTGTATATTTTCTTTTTAAAAGGACATTGACATGTTCTCATTCATTGAATGAATACATTTGGTCAGGCCTTTCTTTTAAAAGAGAGTATTCGAATCTTTGTGTAAGCTTTGTTAGCTCATGTTTTCATGTTTACTTTAAGTTAGCAAGACTGAATGGTCGGTCGGTCACCCCTTGTTTTTGTTTAAAAATGATATTCAGACTAATCTTTATACCTGCAACCTTGTGTACTTCTTGCATATCATTGACGGACTACATTTTTGAGTCCACCCATAAGGAAAATTGATGGTGGTGGTTGAGAGATTAAAAACTAAAATGGTGGAGTGGTTTTTATCTACATTTTTATCGGATTATCGGATCGGATACCTGTTTATTAACAAATCGAATTAACTTACAAAATATCTGTCAGATTATCGGATCGGATTGAATCGTCTAAAATGCTTATTGGATTAGGATCGGATCAGGCCTAATCTAGTTTGAGTCCGATTCGTTTACAAGTCTAGGTGACAAGAAGGATCATGATCCATATTGGGTTTGTGCCGGAGATGGTTCTTGCTTGTGACGAACCAAATATGGACAATTTGATGTTGTGGGCTAAATTTGGTACCGGGTTGAAACACTGAAATTCGTACAGAATTGAGAGTGGGGGGTTGAAATTTGTAGTTTTCGATTTTACGCATACTGAAACTTTCGTCGGCTTTTCATCGTGGATGTAGGCTTTGTCGAACCACGTATAAATCTTTGTGTTATTTATGTGGTGTATTTATTTTTCTGTCGTGTTTCATAATTATTGCTTGGTTCACTGCGTTTGTCGTAACAGATAACTTTTGAGGGCGTTCGGCCTATGCAGAATATTCAATGACGAGGAGTTCAGAGGATCTGAGATAGATCAACATGGTTAAGATAAGCACGATGAAAACGAAAGATATTCGGATGCACGGGATTTTCGAATGAAGATCGATTTATCCAGTTTCAATGGATATCTTTGTGGGGCTCGCCCGGTGAGGTTATGCCACCCATTGTTAAGAGGGAAGAGGATAAGGGAGAGACACTCGTTCCGGATGAGTTGCCACCTTTATTGGTAGAATATGAGGAGTTGATCTCAGACGAGCTCTCAGACGGTTTATCGCCCACGTGTGAAATTCAACTACTCAAAATTTTGGTGTCAAATGTGAGTTTACTAAATTTGCAATATTACTACGAGTCTAGTCGCGTAGAATTGCATAGACAAAACCGAATTTGTTCCAAATGAAATCTGACACTGCAGATTTATTGAGAGACCAACAATAGAAGATGACCATATACAAACATAGATACTAACATCCATCCGTTGTCTGACCATGAAACATCTTCAGAAGAAAAAAAAAAAATTCAGGAGCTACATGTCTAGGACAAAGGAGCTTTCAAAGTGTTGCCAATGTCGATGACAAAACGGTATCTAACATCAGCTTTTTCAAGACGATCCATAGCAGTGTTCACATAGTCCATTGGAATGACCTCAACATCAGCCGTTACGTTGTGTTCTGCTGCAAAGTCGAGCATCTCTTGCGTTTCTTTTATCCCCCCAGTGCTACTACCAGCTACAATCTTTCTCCCTGTTAGTCCACATTTCACATTAATTAGTTATTATTATTAATGCATAACAAATTGACAATAATTTATGCTAGCCCAAGCTGCCTACGCTCACTTTCCTGACTTCCTCGCATTCTAAAGTTGAAGGTCTGAGAATTCAAGTTCTCATAGGAGCACGCGAGTGTGTTTCTTGTTACTGAAAAAAAAAAATAGTGATGCCAAAAACTTACCCATAAGCAAAGGCATCACTGGTAGCTCAAGTGGTTTCGGTGGTGCACCAACCAAGACCAACGTTCCATTCGACTTCAAAAGTCCAATCAACGGTAAAATAGAGTGATCCGCAGAAACAGTATCAATGATACCATCCATTGTGCCCATAGCAGCCTATATATATACAATATTCAACATGAGATTAACACACACAAACCCCATTAAAACCAAAACAATAACGAGCTAGAAAAAAACACAAAACATATACCTGCATCTGATCCGAGTCTCGGCTAACCAGAAATGCATCGGCCCCTAGCTGTTCAACGGCTTCTTTTTTCTTGTTAGGGGATGTACTGATGACCGTCACCTCAGCCCCAAAAGCCTTTGCAAACTTCACAGCTACGTGGCCGAGACCTCCTAGACCTACCACGCCCACATGTTTACCTGGCTTGTCAAGTCCAAAATATCTCAGGGGGCTGTAAGTCGTGATCCCGGCACACAGGAGAGGAGCACCAGCATCGAGAGGCAGGCTGTCCGGCCAGTGAAGCACGAAGTGTTCGTCAGTAACCATGATATCAGAGTAACCACCATACGTGACTGTTCCATCATAGTAAGTGGTGCTGTAAGTGAGTACCATTTCAGGACAGTAACTCTCGAGATCATTGGCACAGTTGTCGCATGAGCGGCATGTTCCGATCAAACAACCCACACCAACTTTGTCTCCAACTTTGAACTTCTGTACCTTACTACCCACCTCAGTAACTATGCCCACAAGCTCATGCCTGCATCAACCAATTCAATTCACAAATATAAGCAAGGGTCTAATATTTGTGGCATGGAAAGGCCAAATGCGAGAATCATTGGATTTCTATGAAGAACAGCTTCTACATGAATATTTCATAATATTTATTCTTTCTAATTGTGTAGAGAATATTAATTCTCCAATTTTTTTCTATGAATCTGGAATATTCACAGGTACGCGTGACTCACCCAATATCTATTTCCAAGAAAAATCTCAAATTTGAGAGTTACAGAGAGAGAGAGAGGAGTTGAATCATACCCTGGGAGGAGAGGATACATAGAGAATCCCCATTCGTTCTTGAGAAAGTGAAGATCAGAGTGACAGATCCCACAATACAACACCTTGAATTTCACATCTTTCTCTCCAGTGGCCCTATAAACATCATATCAAAATAATCAAACGCCGCCATCATCATCAAAATCTAAAATCAATCACAATACGTTAAAAAAAAACACACACACACACACACACTATATATATATATATATCCATATAAATATAACATGTATATATAAAAAAGAGAGAGTACCTTCTGGAGAATTTGAATGGAGAGAGGACTCCAGAGGAATCTCTAGCTGCCCATCCAAAGGCCTTCACTGGGTGCTCCGTCTCTGGGGATTTTTCCATGAAAAAAATGTAGATGGAATAAGTAGCTAGTAACTAAACCAAAGCAATCAAATGTAGAGAGGGAGAGAGTTGTTGGTGAGAGAGGAAACGCTTTGTGTCCTTAATCTGGAGGAGTATATTGTATATATAGTTGGGGTGTGGGGTTATGGTAGAGGTACGAAATCAAAAGTTTGATATATATATATATATATATATATATATATATTATTTTCGTTAAGGATGTTAGGTTAAAAGTTAGAGTGTGAGTCGTGTGACAAGCCGTGCTTCTTAGGACAACAGGGACAACCAATCGCTGGCTAGGAAGGAGTGCACCTATTTATTTGAGTTTCTGAGCACATATGTGATCCAATTTTATCGTGACATATCATCGTTGAATGTTAAAAAAGAAAAAAGAAAGTAGAGAAGAAAGTAATGAGAGTCAAGTGGGCCCATTTCCTCGGGGGGACATAATTCTCTTTTATATTAATCATAATATATCATAACAAGATTATATACATAATCATATATGTTGAAAATAATGTACTCACTAAGTAAAAATTCAAATATTGTCCTTTAAAAATATGTTGTAGAGAGTAGTTACTAAAACTGCACATTTGAGATTAAAAACTTCACTTTTAAAATTTAGTGATTAAAATGACTATTTTACTCTTTTTTTTGTTAATTTTTTTCAAATTCTATAACCACATTTAGGAGATGAATGATATGCCCATCATTTAATTATTAAAATTAAAGAGGGATCATTTTAGTCAAATATGAAGCGTTAATTGCATCTTCCTAAGAATCTTGATCCTCTTTCTTTAATATATTTTTGGGTAAGTGAAAGAAGAATTATTTTAATAAATGACACGCCCATAATTATAAAGATATTAAGATACCTACGCATTTCCATCATAGCTTATTAAAGTAGAACATGTACTATATATATTTAATTTACTACGTAACAAACATGTTTGGTATGATATATATAAAAATATATATTTTCTTTGTTTGGCATGATATGAAATAACATGAATTATTGACATTTTTATTTTATTTCTTATACTACTACTTGCCAATGCATCGTATGATTTGAATATTTAATCACCGGGACCTAATTCCATTCTTTCTTGTCAAAATGACGAGGACTTTGTACTTGCATCAATCGCTTTCAATAATAGGACAGTCCCATTGTAAAACTACCCAAATTATGGGAGCTTAGCTGGTATTCGCGTTCCACAAAATAATTTTATTATTTTATTTTTTATTTATTTATAACTGAAATGTCAAATTTAACCTTATACTTTCCTTATATTACAAGACTGTCATATCCTGATCTTTTCTCCTTCGTATCTCATCTTATTTCTTATTTTCTCTCTTCAGATCCCTTTCCTTCTTTGCCTAAATGTATTTTCTTCTTCAGCAGAACCCACCATCAACTATTCCATCAATCACCTTACCACAATAAACCCACCTTTGCTCCGATAGAAAATAGTATATTTATATACACACACACATGTAAAAGGGTCAACAAAAGAAAAAATTTCAAATTCATCCCTATCACTTTTGGACATGAGAAGCAAAATATTCCGGTGCCATTTTTCATGTCTGTCATCATTTAATTCAAATATATATTTTCTTTAAAAAATGTCTTCAACAAATAAATAGAATTTTATAAATCATAAACTACAAAGTGTAATATTACTATTAGTACTATATCCCTTTTGTTCTTTTCTTTCTTCATCTTCATCATCAATGGTGCCATCTTTATTATGTGTTTCTAATTTATAGGTATTCAGGTGCTAACGAAAGAAAGGTGGAGAAATTGTGAAAAATAGAGTTACGCGGGGTGCGAAAACAGTTAGTTGATTTTAATTATGATTAACTCTTTTAATGACCTAGATTTGATTATTAGGTCAACTTGCTTCATTTATGATCGGTTAAATTATATGACCAACTTAAACATCCACAGTCACAAATATAAATACTGTAAAGTAAAGCAAGTAAAAGTTTAGAGAGGTTGCACCAAAATTTTTGGCAAGGAAACTCCAGTTTATAAAATACGTCAGCTGTTTGGATGGGAAAAACCTCGTGGACTATTTAGTCCAAAGTAAACTGATCCACTATATTTGAAACAAAGTACATTGAACTTTGACTCTGGCTCACACCCTATTGTTCTACCAAACACCAATTGTTGACAATCCTCTGGCTTTACGACTCCTCGTCCAATAGCAACTTGACTTCAGGTTTATGCTTGATATTTGTAGAAGAGTAGCAGGTAGATCAGACAACACTCCTCGAATGCTCCAACCCTTTCAAAGTGCGATCGCTTTTACTTCTGTTCTTCAAGATCTGAACTCGATGTAGATCCTGTTCTTCATACGGAATATTTGAATCTTCAATATAGCTCCAATTCCGATGAGATAGAGAACAACATTACTAAATCACTCATGAATATATGTATGTGCTCTCATAAATAAATTCAGAATAATCAGATTTGATTTTTTGAATTTTCTCTCTCTAAAAGGCTTTATCAAAATATATAATTGATTTTCCCTAAAGTCATAAATAAACCAATGTGTATGACAAGGTTTATATAGAGATTATAAAGCCTTAATCACTCTGAAAATATTAAAAATTTCGTGCATAGGACTTGGAAATAAGTTGGGATCAAAAGGGAAAGGAAATTGAAAGTTGGAATGTTACCAGGAGACCTTGAACCGGTTCAGAGGGGCTGAACTGGTTCAAGAAGGCCAGAGAGTTTTGCTGTGGCTAACTATAGTTTTTAAAACCGGTTCAAGATGGACAGTTTGTAATTTTTTTCTTTTCTATTGAAGTTGAACTAGTTCAGCCTTGTTAAATCAGTTCAAGATGGCCAGTTCAAGATGGACAGTTTGTAATTTTTTTCTTTTCTATTGAAGTTGAACCAGTTCAACCTTGTTGAATCAGTTCAAGATGGCCAGAATGTATAATCTCCTTCCGACCCTTCCAAAACCCTTTCTAAATGTTCTCACTACCTCTCAAAACTTCTTAGAGCATTGTTCTCATCATCTCGGAGTGTTCTATATCATGAGCACTTGAACTTCTTCAAATCCGTATTCGATCTTCAAAATTTTGAACCGAAAAATTTCAACTCGATCGAACTTGTTTTGACAACGAAATTAGCCAATTACAAAATATATATCTCGCAATCTCCCCCTTTGGCAATTTCGTGACAAAACCCTAAAAATATTTCAGCAATCTACCCAAGCAGGAAAGTAAATTACAATGATTGTTAAAGGAAATAAATTGCGAAATTTTTTTTCTTGAACTTTATGAAGCTTTAGCAGATGTAGCAACCTGTAATCTACACATTAGCTCAAACACAACTACCCGTGAAGCTTAATCAAGAAAATAAATACAAGTATAAAATAACAAATTTTAATGCTTGAATATCAACACAATATATAAACACATGCAATGATGACAATGGTTCTCCCCTTCAATGCAAAAAGTTCTTCCCCTTAATGCAAAAGAAAAAGAATCTCCCCATGAATGATAAGACTTTAAACATCTTTCCCTCTTTTTGTTATAATTTAACAAGGGTCACAAGGAAGAAATATCCTATAAGTAGGAAGCAACCAACCATATAAATCTTGTAAATTGAAACCAATGAGAATGTAGACTTCACAAGATTATATGCATTAACAGAAATAACCAAGATTAATTCAATGAAGTTCCACAAACTTAGAAAGTGTAACAAAATCACCACCAAGTTCCAAAAATATATGATCTATCACTTGTTCAGATTCCAGACAATAAATCAATGATATCACATATCTTTAAAAATCAAACAATCAACATGTGCAAAAGACATTTTTTTTCCCTCTCTTTGTGCTTCATTTTTCTTTTTGCATATTGGCGGCTTTTACACTTATGGGTAGCCAGCTCTTTCCTTTATTTCTAGTTGTTTTGAGTTAAGGTAGCTTTCGGACAAATTCCAAAAGTAGCCTTTTCCATCTCACCTTTTTCAAAATAACAAATATTTTTCTTTCTTTTTCAAAAACTTTTCATTCCAAGCTGTTTTTCAATTTTCTTTTCTTTTCACTCTTTTGGTCTAAAACACATAAAATAAGTTTAAATTCCAAGACAATGATCAATCATATCAACATTATCTTTGACCAAAACAATGGTATCTCAAATAAATGTATTATCAATGATTCATTTACTATACAAAATAATTAAGCAAAACCAATTTCATCAATTCATAGCCATTGTATGCTCTCCACAGATAATCCATGTGTCATTAAACTCCTTGGGTTCAACATACTCAATCAATATGGTTTGCTTAACTTCCCAAAAACATAATCTCGACTCTCAAGATATGCATGAAAATCCTTTTTAGACTATGTCTTTGCAATGTATCTAATCAAGACAACAGACACCAATAGATTTCTTAAAATGAGAAAACTTAGGAGCATCTAATGGTTTAGTGAGGATATCAGCCAAATTCTGATCAGTATGCACTTTTTCCAAAGACACGATATTTTGTTCAACAAGTTCCCTAAGAAAGTGATGTCAAATTTTAATATGCTTAGTTCTAGAATGCAAAACTGGATTCTTTTAAATATTAATTGTACTAGTATTATAAAAAAAGATAGCAATAGTACCTTGATCAACTCCATAATCTAGAAGCATCTATTTTATCCAAAGCAATTGTGTGCAATAATTTCCATTAGCAATGTACCCAACCTTACAAGATGATAAATATATACAATTTTGTTTCTTGCTGTACCATGAAACAAGATTAGTACCTGATGAGCACTGAAAAGTGCGCAATTAAACCCCCTAAGCGAGGGTATTTTAGTCCATTCATCTATCTTTATTTACCCGTTTTAGTACTTATTTGTGTTTTTGTCTATTTTAGGTCAATAATGTTAAAATGGGCCAAAAATAGTTTCTTAAGGCCTTTTTGGAGTCAAACTAAGTCTTAGTGATGATCCGGAGCAAAAAGAGGCTGATTTGGAGTAAAAAGAGGCTGATGCTGAAAATCTGCCAAGTTGGATCGATCCAACTTTTTCTAAGATTAATCGCTTTTTCTGAGATCGATCAAAGTTGGATCGATCGAAAATCAAAGTTGGAT